GTTTTTATTGGAAGTTGTATAACATAAATTAAAGATAATTATGCAATCATACCGATTTTAAACACATCAGAAAAAGATGTTTCGATTTCTATAAATAATATTAAATTTGATTTTTTAGCACAAGATTTCGTGCTCATAAATAATATGTAAATACTATCAATTGTAATAATGTTAATACTAATAACAATAATAGATGAACTCTTTTAAATCAAAATCTTAAATTAAATCATTTAAACTGTAAAGAAAAGTCGTCTATTAATAATTTGTGAAATCAATTTAATGACATATTAATTTTATCCGCTGATTAATTATCTTATACTAATCAAATTGTACATAAAATAATAACCCCTAATGCTCATCCAATTAATATAAGACAATACAGATTCCCTATGTGTCATAACGAGGAGGTTGATAAACAATTAAAAATTCTTAAAGCAAGGTAGCATTGAAAAGTCAAATAGTCCATGGAACTCGCCTAGAATTAAAAATTTTATAAAGGAATATATATTTTATGTTTTGTCTGTTAATAAATATATTTTTGACCTGTTATATACTCTTTTTTTGTTATTTTCATAAAAATTAAAAAACAAAAAACCAAGCACAGTGGGGTCGTGGCATAGTTGGGTCCAGTATAAATGATATCTGACAGTGATTAAAATCACTATCATAAAAAACGCTTCGATGCAAATCTGTAGATAGTGTTTAATTAAAAAAAAAAAAAATTTGTTAAAATAGCATATTTTTGAATACGGTAGCCTTTTGCGCATAGAAGATAGGTCGTCGGGACAAATTTCTTTTTTTTATTTTATAGTACATGAAATAAGCATTAATTTGATATATGTTTAAAGGACGCAGTATTTCCGGAACATTTTCAAAAGTTCAGTTGAAAAAGATCTATGTTTTTTACAATATTTTAAGTTTTGAACGCCCCCTATATAAGGGGAAATTGTCCAATTTTAATAAAAAGTATGTCAAATGAAAGATGTACTTATAATGTATTTAGAAAAAAAAAATTGTGCTGATATATACATTTTTCAAAAAGTTATAGCATTTTTAAGTTGAAAATTTAAAATCGAAAATCGAAAATTTTAACACAAAAATAGTGTTTTTTTAACTACGGCAGCCGTTCAAATGTAGAAGAAAAAGTGTCGGGACAAATTAGTTTTTTTCATTTTATAGTACATAAAATAAGCTTTATTTGTAATATTTTAGATATTTCCCCCATTTGCGGAGAACGTAGGAATTTTTTTCAATTTTTAATGGCAATGTCTCCAACTAGATACGATTTGTGATCTTTTGACGTATTTTTGAAAGAAATCAGTCCAGTGAGAGCTGAGAAAAAGTGGCAACAGACAAAAAAAAAAAAAAAAAAAAAACACATCATAGTAAAATTAATTCTCCGCTTCGCATCGGAGCTAATAAATAAATTGTTCAAAATAAGAGTTATATAAAAGATTAAATGATCTAGATTATTTTTACCATGTCAGAAATATTTATTAACGATATTTTTTAAAAAGGCACTAGTATAGAATTTACTCAATACCTACAAAAAATAATGAATCAATAAGTTAATACTTATTTGAGTCATTATGCTATCTTAACTATATGATGTGTTAAGTGGAAGAAATGATACATGATAAATGTATTCGTAAAAAATAATGTAGTTATATTTATAAATAAAACTTGAGATTAATGAGATAATTGGGATTTTTCAAAACTTGTTGTAATAAAATAGAGAGACCCGTAAAGGTACTAATAACTTTTTATTGAGATATAACATACTGAAAAACTTAAATCTAACACAGTATAATAAAAATGAAAGCACAAGTTGAATTACCCAACTCAGTTTTCACAGAGAAGTGACTTACACTGATTGACTTCTGAGCCCTCCATATATGAAAATACTATTAATTATTTATTTTATGTATTATTATTTTGTATTAACTTATATCAGTTTGCTGTGTATTTTATTGTGACTCAAATGTGTTATGTATTAAAATTTTAGATATTATTTCTCTTTAAGGGTGATGGTGTCGTTAACCCATAATTATTTTGTAAATTTTAGTTTTAAGGAATTTATATGTAACATTATAATTACTATAAAGTATTATAGTATTAATATTTTAATGATTATTTAATGAACAATGTAAATATAAAAGGAGACTTGATCATCTTCTCAGTGGTCAGTGTTCTATCAGTGAATGTTATATTATAATTATTTATTATTTTGACTCTTCCTGACAACACTTATCCGCGTTGTTAAATTGGACTTCGAACACCCAGTTTACCACTTATTATTTGGCATCCCTGGAAAATTTGGTTTCAATTGGTTACCACATAAGTAGGTAAATTTATTGGGATACTATTCTAAAATAAATGAAATATTTGAAACGGACTTAATAAAAAGAAAGCCATTTATACACATCTAATAGTCCATAATAATATATTTTATTATTGTGGACTATTAGTTGTGATTATTATATATCTTGATATAGTAATACAAATACAAAATAAGTATAATATAAAAGCTTTGTGATATTGGGGCACAGCTCACATGATGATTTTTATCATTAAGTTTTTTCAACTCATCCTAATTACAAAGTAATTTATCTGCCACTGCTTTCTGTTTAAAATAATTTATAAAAATATTTAGAGGCCAACAGTTTAGTCTTGTGCTGTAATACCACATTTTATGTCAAAGTCCTATTAAGGATTCTTAGTATAGTATTAAAATAAAAAAAAACGGTAGCACAGTGGGGTCGAGGCAAAGTGTGGACGAGGCCATAGATGGGACAAGTATAGATGATATCTGACAGTGATTAAAATCACTATCATAAGAAACGCTTCGATGCAAATCTGTAGATAGTGTTTCCTTTAGAGAAATTGGTGAAATATTTTAAAAGCAACATCAACTCTTATTTCTTTAATTATATCCTGATTAGTAGTACTTTGTTTTTAAAATATAATATATGAATAAATACTAATTATAGTTTTTAAATTTAGTATGAAATTGTGTGGCCAGCTATGATGTATGGTTCATAGTGTTGGGCGGTTGATAAGAAAGTAGAGCAGAGAATAAGTGTAGCAGAGATGAGAATGCTTAGTTGGATGAGTGGAGTGACTAGAGAAGATAGGATAAGGAACGAGCATATAAGAGGAAGTATAGGTGTTGCGTCAATCGTGGATAAGATGACAGAAAATAGACTTAGATTGTTTAGTCATGTTATGAGGAGAGAAGAATCGGAAGCTGTAAGAACAGTTATAGAAATGAATGTTGAAGGAAGAAGAGATATAAAAAACCAAAAAAGAGATGGAGGGAAGCTATTGAATGCGATTTGAGGACAGCTGATGTGAGCGTAGAAGATGTGGGAGATCGTGTCAAGTGGAAGCTTAGGATAAGCTACAAGGATAAACTACAAGTAAAATCATATCAGTGTATTCCGAATTAGTAAACATTCTTTTATTTAAATTAAATTAAAAAACTTTACTAAACAGCACTCAATAATTCAAACATGAATTAAAACGCACGCAGCTGATAAAAAAGTTGTCTTACTCAAAGGCATGGCATGCCATGATAACAAATGCAAATTTAGATAGTGTCACACAGTTACAATTATTACGTACATTTACTATCTAACTAAGCTATTATGGAAAATATTGGTAAAATTTTATTTTTACCAATTAGTAATAAATGTTTAGTAATAAATAGCCAATAGTGGTTGTAGATCAATTTAGTTTTTTTTTAATTATCTCCAAAAATACATACGATTTTTTTATGACTTAGCATGATGGTAATTTGTAAATAATTATAACGAAATAAAAAAAAAACTATTGAAAATGTTTAAAATTATTTTTATTGGATTTTATTATTTAGGTGATCACACGATTCATTCTTACCATTATTATTACTGAAAGTACAAGTAATAATTATAAAAAAAAAACAATACTATGGAATTTCTCGCAAAATTCTAATACAAATTGATATGTAACACTAAAATTTCGGCTCAAGTCATTTTAAGGGGCAATATGAGGGAAAATGATCAATTTTTGGACAAAATTGAGTGACCCCTCAATTTGTGTGAGCATTTTGCGGAAAATATCGTGGTATGATTTATTTTTAATTTTAGAGAAATTCGGGGAGGTTATTCCAAAATTCCTCCAATTTTGGAGAAAAAAAACGAGGTCCTATTTTACACTCCACCAGGGTACTCGTCCATATATTACTATTGTTCGAAAGATTAACATCTTGTATAATTAAAAAAACAGTATATTATTTAACATATTTTTTAACAACATGATAGTTTTGTACTTTAATAATTGATTATACCTCATATTAACTTGGTCAAAATACGGTACGCGCCTTAAAAGTACGGTTGTTTATTTATTATGCGATAAATTATCTATTTTTTTCATTAAGATTTAATATTATGCCTATCAATATTTCTGTATTATTACTGTTAAAAAAAATTCTTATATAAACATTTTTCCGAAAAGGATTCGCGCTTTTTAAAATATTACTTGATGAGTAAATGATATAGACGTATTTATTGATTAATTATTGGTACTGTACCTACTAACGTCCCACATAGATACAACTGTTTATATGATCAATAAATACTGGTATGGTTTTGGTAACAGGTCGCAATAAAGGTACTCAATTACAAAAATGTAAAAGTACTGGTGTACCGAGTACTTTGGAATGTACCGAAAGAAACGATTTCATTAAAGGAACGAAAATTCCCACCAATAAATTATAGTGAAATAAGTTAGTTAAAACAAAATTAAATCTTTGAATGAAGATTGTTTAAATTATCAATATTTCATTAGTTCAACCTTAATCCGCCAATTTAATTGACAATGCAAAATTAATTTCTAGAGAGCCAAGTGGTATTAAATGCATTAAAACTTCTTCGATTTTAATTAATTTCATTAAAATATGGAATGCACTTTTGGTATAATTTATTTATATGCTAATTCTAAAAAATGATTGATATAAAAAATACAAAAATTTAATGTAAAATTTATTAGGTAGATTAAACATTAAATGTGACAAATGTAAACATAAATATATGGCTTGTATAAAAAATTTAAATATTAACAAAAAATCATTAAAATATATAATTTTATAAAAAAAAACCACTTATAAAAATTTGCTCAAAAAGTCAACTCACTCGTTAAATACTATAAATTCGTTAGATATGTAACTTCATAATTAATGCTAGTCCCTGTTTATAAAAATTAACTAATAAAATTTGTAAAATTGAATATAACTCCCTGGTATTTGCCAATAGGTTTATTTTATATATTTATCGACATGCTGTTGCTTCATATGGTTTTTGTAAAACTGCAGGGGCTCTATCCATAACTCGAGCCAATAATGAATCAACATAATCTTCTAGATCTTCTCGTCTTTTTGATTCATCTGCTAACCGTCGTCTTAATTCCATAATCATCATAATTAATTCCTTTAAATAATTGTAGAATTATAAAATTTTACTAAAATATTTTTAGATAAAGGTATAAAAACATACATCTTTTGTCTTGCCATCAAATTCTCCACCACCATCCATTGATCGATCTAAGGATGGACTTTTATGCTGTTCCATTCCAACTACTACTCTTTTGGCAACACCACTCCATTTATTTACACCAGTTTCTATTAAAAGCAAAAATAATATAATAATTTATTAAAAAATTTTTTGTAAATCAAATAAATGTTGATTAATTTGATGATTAAAAGTTACGGTTTTCTAAGTTCAAGTTTAAATTGCATTAATAAAAACCTTAATAAAAAATTATAATTCAGTGTTTTTAGGTAATAACTCAGATACCAATACTTACTGGGAGAATGTTTTTCAGTAAAAGATGGTGATCGAGGAGGTGTAGATGCTGTTGAATGAGATGGACTATTTTTTCTATCAGATGTCGTAAGAGTTGTGTTTGTAACATCTGATGTTGACAATGGTAATTTTAAAGAGTCTGAAATAATAGTAATTTTTTTAGTCACATAAGAAGTTAAATTGCAGCTACTGTTCTAATAATTTTAATGAATTTGACATTAAAATGATTAAATTTGTAACTAAAAATGTACCTCTACCACCAACAGTTCCACCATACAATTTCCGTTGCCATTCATCACGTTCAGGTGTTTTTTGACTAATTGTGCTTATATTGCTATTGTTCCTTTCTGCTGATGGTGATAGCGCTAACTTTTTGATTTGATCACCTTCTACTGCATCAAGTGACCATGATAAATCTTTCACACTTGATTCTACTACTTTTGGATACGAAATTGGTGAAAAATCTTCCCCATCAAGCTAATTAAAATAAATATTTAATATCATTATTTTTAAATATAATTTCTATTATAATCATTAAAAAACTAGTATAGTGGGGACACAGTATAGTTGAGTCAAGAACAGATGATATTTAACAGTGATTAACATTATTATAACAAAAAAAAAAACGCTTCATGGAAGTCTATGTAATTTTTTCTTGAAAAAAGTGCACATTAAAATCAAATAATTTATGGAATAAACATAGTTTAAAAAAACTGAAAAACATGCTTTTAAAGCATATCGAACTAAAAAGTTAAAAATATGCTTTTAACAATAATGAATGAAAAATACTAGTATTATTGAAAAAAAATATGGCACAAAGCTCCCATGGTTTTTTTCACAATAACACTAGTATTTTTCGTTCATTATTGTTTTAAGCTTATTTTTTAAATTATTTTTTACTTTTTAGTTTTTATGACATCGCTGTCACAGTTACGGAGTGTTTATTGTAAATTATGACTATCAATAGATAAAATTTCTGTATTGCCAGTTAGTGTGTTTAAAACTCACAACAATGTGTCTTATGACCATTGATAATAAAGGCTATATACCTGCGAATATCGTCATAAAAAACCAATTAGCTACCTGTATTTGTATTCCTTTATATATTATACATGTATATTAACTTAAAAAAAATTGAATCTTTAAATTTTTATAACTAATAATAAACAATAAAAATTTGTTTATATATATATAATATTGATAATACGCACGCATGTACGGGTACAAGGACCAAAAATAAAATTATACAGGAATTGTGTTTGTCAGCAAGCGGTGAGGGGGTGGGTGGGTGAATGTGTTAGGAAAGTTTAGTCTCAAGGCAATAGATGACGGGTAACGCTGCGCGTGGAGAGTTACAAACATACATACAGGTGAAACTAATATAAGCGTGTTAAAAAATACTATGGGAAGGACTTTCTTTTCTTAAATCTTAAAGTACTTGTAAAAAGGTATCATATATGTATGGGTCTGTCAGTAATTCAAGAATATAGTTAAAATTTGAATACAAAATAATTTTTTGTAAAAATTATAAATTTTTTTAGTTTGACAGCCAATTTCTCTTATTAGAACAATCTCCGGACGCATTTTTGTTTTGAATATTGCAGTACTCTTTAAGAGATTAATTTTAATACAGGCAAAAAAGAAGTAAATGTTATAAAAAATTATAAAAAAAAATTCTTTTCAAGTGTGGGTGGTTTCTTTTAAATCTTTAAAATTAGATTATAACAAAAAAAAATCCAAATGAAAGCTTATGATCTTTAGTATACTTAATTTCATTAAGATCAGTGATTATAAAAAAGTTATAGCAGCTATAAAATGCAGAAAATTTCTTTTGAAAATGCCTTTTTTTATAATAGTATTAATCTTTGATAATCAATAACAATTTTTGTACCAATATTTAAGAAGTTATTAAAAATTCAAGTTTCAAATTCATAGTAATGAAAAGATGTGAGATACAGGTGCTATTATTTTTATTACTAGACATTTCTTGGGATCACACCTATTACCAACTTGGTATAAAAATGTTATACATTCTGAAATACTGGTTCAAAAGTTGTTATTGGCTAGTCATTTTCTAAATTAGATTATTTTCCATTTTATAAGTTAGTTAAACATGTATTTTGCCATTTATGAAATAAATGTTAACACCCTTATAAGCTATAAGTAATGAACATAAGAAACACTTCACCTTTGATAAATTGAGAAAATCATGTATCTAAAAGAAACCAAAAAGAAAATTATCAATATTATCTTTATTTTATTGAAAAAACACTGTTGATTCATTAAATTCTGATGACTTGGTATATTTTAAAGTAAATTCAAAAAAATTATACAACTAAAAATATGAATAATTCTCTTAAGACTCACTGTAAAATCATCAGCACCAACATCATCTACATCACTTGATTCAAACTCAGAACGATGAGGGGTTTCAATATTATCTTCTTCTGTTAAACCATCAATAGTACTGTTGTTTTTTTGACGTTTAATTTTTCCAGCTAAAAATTTGTTAGTTAATGTAGTTAAATTAACAATATTCTTAAGTTCATTTTGTTGTATTAAAATATGTAATAATACCATATACTAATTAATTAATATTTGTTATTAGAAATAATCATTTTTGTTAATAAACATTCTAAAAGTAATTATTCCTATGAAGGATTAGTTTTTTTGAAAATCTTTTAGTAAAAAAAAATGCTTGTCAAGTCAAGTATATAGACTTTCTTAAATTTAAAAAATTTTATTGTGTTAAAATATTTGTAACTATTAGGTGCACAATTAAGCTCTTTATGTTTTTTTATAGAAATGCAACTTTACTTTGAAAAAATATTTACATATATATTATTCAAAGTATTGTCTATTGCAATACTTTGAATAGCTACAACTTTTTCCCAACATTCTGACAGAGCTCCATCATGATAAATCTAAGAATAAAACCATTTTTTGATGTCTTTATATGAGGGGAAGTGCTGATCATTCAGACCTTGTGACATCTAATGAAACAAGTAATAATTGGCATATTATCTGAGGAAAATGAATGATTAAGGAAGAAAAGGTAGAGGAAGACCAAAAAAAAGATGGAGGGATGCAATTGAATGCGATATGAGGACAGCTGATGTAAGCGTAGATGATGTGGGAGATTGTGTCAAGTGGAAGTTTAGGATAAGGGTGGACGACCCAAAGCAGTTGGGATTAAGGTGAGGAAGTAGACCTGAGGAATAAGCGGGTGGGATAGGACTTCCTCTTGAGCGTTTCTATGTAGGTTTTAAGGGGTTTGGCAACATAATGCCTACCATTGTCTTGTAATAAAATCACTTTTTCGTATTGTGGTTATTTTTCACACAGTGCTCGGTTTAGTCACATCAATTAAAATTTATATCGTTCATAAGTGATGTTTTCATTCTGTTTAAACAGCTCATAATAAATAACACCATCTATTCCCACTAAATATACAACATAATCTTTGCAGCATGAATATTTAGCCGAGTTGATGATGTAGAAGTATAACCGAGCAGTTCTCATGTCTTTATTTTCATTGGGTTCATTAACAGGGTACTCTCGAGTGATGCTGATGTGAAAAAAAGGTGGAAATAGTATTTTGAAAAAATACTGAATGAGGAGTATCCAAAAGAGACATTAGAGGATATCTCGTGTAATGAGGGACTTAATTAGATTTAATTAGCGAGATATCAGAGGCTGTGGCATCAATGAAAAAGAATAAAGCAGTAGGACCAGAAGAAGTGCCAGTAGAAGTATGGAAAATATTAGGCGGTGTTGGCGTAAGGTGGTTGAAGGAACTTTTAAATAAAATCTTATTTAGAAGGGAGAAAGCGTATGATAGAGTACCGAGAGAGGTTTTAAAGTGGTCAATGAGAAAAGGAGTACCGAAAAGGTACATTAATATAATAGAAGATATGTATGATGGCACTTGTACCAGGATAAAACGCGTAGGAGTAACAGAAGATTTTCGGGTAAGAGTAGGAGTGCATCAGAGTTCTGCTTTAAGGCCTTACTTATTTTCTATAGTGATGGATGAAATTACTAGAGAAATACAAGGAGAGGTGCCGTGGTGCATGTTGTTTGTTGACGATATAGTGTTAATAGGAGAAAATAGGAAGAAAATTAATCAAAGGCTAGAGGTGTGAAGATCAGCTCTTGAAGAAAAGGGTTTAAGAATAAGTAGGAATAAGACAGAGCATATAGAGTACGAGTTTGATAAAAGAGAACACAAGGAAGGCGAAATAAGGAGATCAGTGACAATAAGCGAGGATGTGATTGGAGAGGTAGAAAGTTTTAAATATTTAGGATCAGTTGTGCAAAAGAGCGGTGGTATTGACGAGGATGTAAGACACAGGATTTAGTACGGGTGATTGAAGTGGAGAGAAGCATCTGGTCTTACGTGATAAAAGAATTCCAAAGAAGCTGAAAGGTAAATTCTACAAGACTGTAGTGAGACTAGCTAACTTTATTTTATAATATTAATATACATAATTAATTAGCTTATCAAATAAAAACACATCATAGTAAAATTAATACCTTCTCAGCTTCGCATCGAAGCTAAAAATAATCTAATTAAGAATATGGCTGGCCAATGACATCTTTTGACCCATTATTTCATATTTTATAACCATTTTAAAACATAGAGATTAGGTAAAATATGGGTTATGTTATTTTCATCATTATTTTATTTATGCTATAATTAAACATGTTATTATTATTATGTATTTTAATAGGACAAACCCAATTTATAAATTTGAACATAGTAAGTAATAAAAGATAAAAATAGTATTTATAAATTATTTTAATGATTCAAATATGTATTTAATGAGAAGAAAATAATTAAAATTGTTTAAGCTATGGTGCAAAATTGGTGTCAGCTTAGCAGCAATTATTGATTGGATTATAGGAAAATTTAGCAAACATGATGTTGAGTATTGAGGAATAAAGAAAGAAAAAGAGTGATTCTTAGGAGTTGTTAATAATGTTTAAAATAATGGGTCTAAATTTGTCATCGAATAATAATTTTTTGTTATATTAGATAGTTAAATATGTATGTGAACAATAAAAAAAATAAAGCTGAGACCTTTATAAGGTATAAGAGATGAATTAAAAAAAAACTTAATAATTATTAAATCAAGAAATATATAAAATTAAGAATTACTAAAAAAATGTTTCATAACATTATTTTTATTTTAAGAGAAATTGAATGGATAATATTAAAAAAATCAACCAGTATGCAGCATTTTTATAGCTCTATATAATTTTTTTTTAAACTTTTAAAAATTACAACATTAAATTATTGAATATAAATTTTATTACTATAATAAGTATTTGTTCATGATTTATAAACTTGATACTTATAAATCATATAACTTGTAATCATTATATAATTAAGAAAATAGGAGTTGGGTTTTAACTTTTTAACTTTTGAAAATGTTCTGGGAATACTGTGTTTTTTAAATGTATGTTAAAATAAAGCTTGATTTATGTACTAGAAGTTCAAAAAAAAAAATTTGGAAAGACTACTTATTTTTTATGTGCAAATGGCAGTCAATGTAGAACAAAAAATAGGAGTTTATTTTGTTTTTGAAATAATCCACCAATTTCTTAGAATTAAACTATCTACAGATTTGCATAGAATCATTTTTTATGACAGTGTTAAAAACCCCTGTCAGGTATTATCTATACTTGTTATAACTATGCCACATTACTACTCTGCTAAATTTTTTATTTGAATAGATAAATTATTTTATAAATACATATGTGTAATTTATATGAGAATCTTGTTATCGATATAATACAAGAGTACAAAGAAAACACCTGTAAGTTTTTTAACCCTAATTACAAAATAATCACAATTTATAGTTGTTTAATAGAATGTTGTAATGAACCAATGAACTTAATGCAACCATGGCAGAACTTTTAGAAGTTATTGATATACATCAGATTAGAAATCAATTACATATTTTATAACCTAATACAAACATGTCAGAACTTATAGAAAAATTTTTGCAGATCTATTATTCATAATTAACAACAATTTGTTATCTAAAAAATTTGGGTTAAGCCATTCAATTTTTATACACATTTGCCATAATAGCAATAACTACTTTATAATTTTTTATAAATTTTCCAAAAAAATTACAATACTAAATTATTAAATATTAATTTGATACAAAATTTAATTACAATAATAAGTATTTATTGATTTATTATACTTATAAATCATAAAACTTGTTATCAAGATATAAATAAGGAATAGAAATTCATGTTGTTTTTAGAATAATTCAATAATTCCTATTCAAAATTAAATACTATCTACAGATAACTTTTATTCATTACAATTACCATACTATTGTGATTTTTAAAAATCAAGAAAGTAAAGTAGGAATGTGAGTTAATTCACTATTTATGAATAAAAATTTTTGTGAATTAAAATTTATGTCTAATATCTATGAAGTTAGTAAGATTAGTAAGATTTAATTAATTTTAAACCTATTTAAACCAAATAATTTTGTACATAATATTACTTTTTTTAAAAAATATTAAAAATTAGAGTAAAAATAAATAAAATATAAAATAAAATTTTTTATTAATTCCTTACTCAATGATTTGGCCAACTTCTTGAATGAGCGTCCCTTACCACTTCCACTGCTTCCTAGGCTAAGCAAACTTCCACCTATAATAATTTAAATAGTATAAATTACTATTTATAATTCTCAAAAATTTATCTTGACATACTAATACTTGATGACGATGAAAGATGCCCAATAGACAATTTATGTTTTTCTTTTTTACTAAGGGTTCCTGATCCTGATGAAGATTTGACAGTGTATGCAATTTTAGCTTGAAGCTCTCCAACAATATCACGCCCATGCTTACTATGCAGCTGGAACCACCTTCACAAAACTTACACATGTAAACATGTAGACAAATAAAAATATTATATAGTAATTAATATATGATATTTTATTAAATATACTAAAAATTTCATACTACAATTTGTATTTAAAAATAGTAGTAATAAGACTATTTATAAAAAAATTGTTTCATACATACTTGCTTTTAGGTCTTTCGTATACATCAGCATCATCTAGAGGAATTGTTGTGCGACCAATTTTGTGATCAGAAGACGGTACTAAACCTCCAATAAATGAAGTTGTATTTTTTCCTCGTTTCTTCCTAGTCAATACACACAATTCTAATTCAGGTGCACCTCCTCCACCACGTCGCCATTCTGGTATTTCACTAGAATCATATGTCATCATGTAATTTCAATAAATTATAATAGTTTCAACACAATTTCATTGATACATTTTATATGCCTTATGTTGAGCAATCGGGGTTGGCAGAAGGGTAAAGTCACCAATGCAATTGTCTAGAATTGTCTAAAACCTTAGAAAAACTTTACAATATTGGATAAAAACAAAAAAAGGTCATTATTCATTGCTGGTACTATTAGAAATATTCCAATCAAATAAACAATGTTCAATAATTTAATCAAAATAACTTTTAAAACTCACAGTTCACATAATTCATGCCATTCAACAATAGTAATATCACCATCAGAGTGATGTTCCTCTGGTCTCTTTGAAGAAGTTTGATACTTTTCACTGTGATGACTTCTGCCACTACTACCATCTTCTAAAGCTATTGTTACAAAAAGCGATGCTGATGAATCTTTGTCTGTAGTAATTCCTTGGAGGCGAGCTTTTTGAACTATAATTGAAAAAAAATCATCAATATTAGAATCATTTCATTGCAATTAGGAAATTGAGAGTTTTACCAGTAACTTGGACATGCGTGGGATTCCACATTCCGTCCAATTACAAAAAGTTCAAATTTCGTACTTGTAGCCTCTCTCATACAGAGAAGCTGATGCTTGTTGTCATCTATAGTCGATAAGAGATCAACGACGTTGTTAAAAAAATATTTCAGTATTAAATTTGTACCTGATGGTGGTGGTTTAGTACTGATAAAGAAATTGATAAATGATGTCTATGTAACCATGATATAATTTATAATAATGTAGATGAGTAAGAAAGAACAAAATAAAAATTAATCACGAAAAATTACATTCGATAATAAACAATAATTCATATTTATCATCTGACATTTGATTTTCGAATTTTTAGCTATTTATAATTTAGTAGCTTAAAAAAACTTTTTTTTCGCTAATAAATGTCTTCTGCGGCAGTTATCAACCGAAATATCTCCGGCTAATGATTAATTTTTTTATTTGATATTGTTAACATAAGTTACTGTATATATTTATTAGACCTATCAGATGTCTTTAAGAATCAAATTGTTTGTTAACTAATTTAATATTTTTATTCTTTATCTTTAATCTCATTAAATTTTAAGATATTTTTTTATTTTAAGAACATCTAATAAATTCGTCAATTTATAAAATATCTGTTAAGCAATATTGAGATCTAAAAATAACGTGTTATATGTTTTATAGAAGTATTTTCCTAAAGTATCTAGTTTAATTTTCTCTATACAAATTAATTTTTTAAGTACATCTAGTATTATATTGTGAAATAATTAGATTAATTGAAGAAAAATGTTTTTTAGGATATAATTTAGCGAAATGGGCTTATGCAAGTGTCCTAAACGTAAAACTACAGGCCATTTCTGTTTTCGCCATTGTGTAAATGTATGTGAACATTGCATAGTGAACAATCATACTACAGTGTGTATTTCTTTTGGTATTTTTTCCTTAAATAATTAGACTAAATTAATAGATTTTTATATTTTGTAAAAAGTCTATTTTTATTCTAAATATATGTTTATCACTTAATTTATTAAAATCTAATGCAGTTTACAAAATAAATTTTATAAATAATTTTTTTTTTTTTAATAATTTGATAAGCAAATATTAAAGTTTTTATCTGATTTGTTTCTTGATAGAGTATTATAGTATTTTAAAGTAATACATTTTCAAAATATTTATCACATTAAACGCTACACTGTAATGTTGTAATTAATTATTTACTGACTTAATATAGTTAGTAATGGCTAAATTAAATATTTTGTGTAACAATCCATTTATATGAAAATCACTCAATACAGTATTTTAGTAAGTCATTTTGAATTAGTAATATTGCTCAATTGACATTAAATTGTTTGTATAATATTATATTTATTAGCTTATATGCAAATAGTTTTGTACAATCATAAAAGTTATTAAATTTACTATTATTTCAATAAATATACATAAATACATATTGCATATTCTAAATATGTACATATTTATACAGAACCAGCATGAAGGTAGAACATTTGAAGATATCATTTAAAATGATAAAATGCTTAATATTTTAGATATTGGTTATCTAAAAATAGAAATAAGCTATTAATATTATTACAACACATTAGTTCTGATGAAACTTCAAAAAATATATATATTTATCTTAATTGTCTTGTAAAGTAGTAAAATAACTTTTTTAGTGTATTGTTAAATCATATACCACATGGTTAAAAGAAGCAAGCAGTAGTGGCGGTAGTGTCTCCTCTTCTTCTACTGCTTTTTGTGTTGTTTGTCAAAAACAGTTTGAATCATCTGAAAAATGTTTGAAAGCTGTCCGTTTATTGTGTTATCGTAAGTTTTTATATATTGTTAAAAATGTTAATTACTAAAAAGTACTTATAACAAAAAAAATTATACAATTTTTTAGATGTTATTCATTATAGGTGTCTCTCATTGCTTGTAAAAAACCATTTAAAGCAAGGCAATATTCAAGGAAATTTAAAATGCCCATCATGTTCAAGGGTTCTTTGGGTGAGGCAAAATGAGAATGATATCCAATTAGATTCACCTGTAGCTTTGCAATTATATAAAATTTTTGAGGCTGAATGGTGGGGAAAATCATTAATTTCTAATGAACCTGTAAGTATGAAATATTATCCTATTAACATTTATTGTCATTAAAATTGTATCCACTTCATACTATACCAAATTATATTAAATAAAAATGCATATTGCATTTTTAAAAGTAATTTAATATAATTTAAAAATAATTTTACTGTCTAATCTTTTAGCTTCGATGCGAAGCTGAGAAGGAATTGGTTTTACTGAGATGTTTTTTTTGTGTTTGTTACCACTTTTTCTCAGTCTCACCTAACCGATTTCTTTCAATGATACGTCAAAAGATCACAAATCGTATCTAGTCAAAGACATTACCCTCAAAAATTGAAAAAATTTCCCTCGTTCCCCGTAAATGAGGGAAATCTCCAAAAAAAAATTACTAATTTTCGAAATTTTTTTTACTAAAAACTTTTTCAAAAATGAACATATTAATATAACTTTTTTTTTTATAGATGCTTGATGTCTTTATCTATCATTTGGTATATTTTTTTGTAAATCTGACCCTTTATCTGCCCACAGGGGGGATTTAAAATAACAACTTTTTTACAAAAAATTAACTTTTGAAAATGTTCTGGAAGGTCTGAAACTTTTATTTATATCTTAAATTAAAGCTAATGTAATGTACTTTATTATGGAGAAAAAAATTTTCGAACTTTATTTTGTCTTTGCAGTGAAAATGGCTAACAAATGCTATTTTTGTGTGAAATTTCTCGATTTTATATTTTACATTTTTTACTTTAAAAGGCTATAACTTTTTGAAAAGTGTATGGATCAATACAATTTTTTTACGAGAAATAATATTTATATCCCTGTTTCATTCGATAGACTTTATCTTCTTCAGGATATTAATAAGGAAATAGCTGATCATGTAGCTTTTGGAATAATACACCAATTTTCTAAAATTAAACACTATCTAAAGATTTGCATTGAAGCGTTTTTTTTTTATAGTGATTTTAATCACTGTCAGATATCATTATACTTGATCCAACTATGCCACGTCACCACTGTGCCGCGGCCCCCGTGTGCTAGGTTTTTTTCAATTTTATTTTTTTTAATTTAAAGTTTTCATAATGTAAACTAGTTACATTTTATGTGTGTTGCTATTTTTATAGATAGATGCTGGGGAACTTGAAAAGTTTTTACTAGAAGATACTAAGCAAGAATCAACTATTACTATTCAAGAAACCTCTCTTAGTTCTAATGTTCAACCATTATCTGAGATAATTCAATCAAATGGCACACCTCATCATTACTATTATCAAGAACCACAATCTTCTATAGAGTCAACTAATAACATAGTAAAACAGGCAGTTCATCATAGATATAATAATGGTAAATTATAAATATCTTTATTATCATTGATACTTGAAGTAGTTATGATGGTAAATTTTATACATAGATGAGCTAATTTTATTTTAGTTACATTATATTTATAGCCAACAGATAATTTCACAGAAATGTATGGGAGTGCTACATTCTCCAAACAATCATTAAAGTCCGTTGTGGTTGGCATATTTAAAATATATTGTGGATTATCTTACTTTTTAAAGTACTTTAGTTGGTAAAATATATTTAATTTGGTTTTAAATAGTACTGGATGATGTTTTTGATATAAACTATATTAAATTTCTCTTTAAAATAATAGTATGAAAAATTTTCTCTACTTTTGTAGTTTCATATATTTTTCTATTGATCAAATATAAATCATTTTAGCTTCAATGCGAAGCTGAGAAGGTATTAATTTTACTATGATGTGTTTTTTTTTTTTTTTTTTTTTTTTTTTTTTTTTTT